CCCACCAACTTAACAACTGTGGGCGTGGCACTAGACTAGTAGAAGATGCCGTGTGTTGTCAGTTGTTGTCAGTTGAAGCTCTAGCTGGGGTCATAACCCACACATATCCACCTGTTCTCGCACATTTTCAGCGCCGTCTGCGTTGCCGCCCCCCGAGCGACAGCTCAGCCTAAAAAAACCAAACAAAAAATTCTAAAAAACCAGCTAACAAAGCAATCGCAATTAGTCGCTTTCGCATTGATTGTAGTTTTTTTTTTTTGTAGTCATTGTTGTAGTTGTAGCAGCACCTACGATAAATAATTACATATCAGCTGACAACACGACACACATTCTTGAGACATTTGTGGGGAGGGGCTGCAGAGACGTGGGCGGGTTGCTGAAATCTACCGCGCCAATAAGCGAGATTCTTTGTCTCAATTTGAAACTTGAAACGTTTTCAAGACTTTTTTCTGCTCAGCCGTCTTTTTTCTCTTTTTGTCCTCTCAACCCTCAGTCACACCTATTCTCTATTTCTTCTTTCTCTCCCTCTTTTCCACTCTGTATCTCTTTCTTCTCTCTCTCCCTTTTCTCTCCTCTATCTTTCACATGCCTTCCGTCTCTCTGTCATAATATCCTTGGCGCACCTCTTTATTTCTATATTTCTTAATTTCTCTTTCCCTCTACCTCCCCCCCACCCTACCGCATGCTCTCTTCAACTTGCTTTCTTCTCTTTTAAAATACGCCCCTCTATACGATTCGCATAGCTGCAGGTAAGGCTCACTATATGATTAACGGCACCAGCTTACAATCTCTCAGCTACTATCTTAACCTCCCGTCATCGAAATCTTCAAGGTGTTATGCACACTTTACACGCACAATATGAGTTTCCCAAACGAAGATTAGATTTTGTAATATTAAGAAAATCGATTTAAATAGACAAAGACAACGCTTTTGCTTATTTTCTATACTCCGCATACTAAAAACATTAACCGATTTAACCAACGCAATCGCTATTTATATAAGGCAAATACGACTCCAAGCACTAACAGACCGCATATTAGTTTTCGCTTTGCTTACGACGTCGACGAGGACGAGGACGAAGACGATGATTACTACGGTGCGAGGGTAACCAATAACAAGGTAATGCCCACAGATGCATTCGGTCAGGCGTTGCGTTTGGCGAGATGTTTTCCTAATCCACCCATCTATTGTAAAAATGTAGGGAGGTGGCTCAGCGGACGGCTCCAGAAGACCCAGCGATGCGCATTTCGGACGCGACAGCTCTCCCGAACTGGAGCTGGAGATGAGCGAAAGTGATCCCGACGAGCCCGAGGAGAAGAAGACAGAACGACGCGAGCGCCGAATGGGCAAAGAGGTGAAGGTGCTGCGCAGCAAGCTGACAAAGCTGAAAGTCAAGGAGGAGGCCGCCAAGAAAGAGAAGGATGCACTGAAGCAAGCCATGAAGAAGAATCATGTTATACTCAAGTAGAGCGGCCAAATATTATAGTGAATTTGTGATTATAAAAGATTTCTTGCAGAGAGGAGAACAAAAAGTTCAAAAAGCTGGAGAAGGAAGTGCAAAAGATGGCCGCATCGATGAAGCTGGACGAAGACGAAATCGATGCCGAGGACAAAGATGATGAAGAGGCAGCCGAAGAAGAGCACGAGGAAGAAGAGGCAGAGTCCGAGGAGGAGTCAGACGAATCGGAATCTGAAGAAAGCGAAGAGGAATCGGCCAGCGAATCCGAAGCGGAAGTAAGTACACCATCTGGGAGGCATCTCTTTATCTGAATAAATGATTGATGGAAATGATTGACTGACTGACTGATTGATAAACATGCAAGACATCAGAAAAAAGTCAGGCACGGGCAATACCGGATAATATCTGTCAACTTATTTATATATATTTAGATATATATATATATATATATTTATATGCACGGTTTACCTCTGCTCCTTAGGATGCCGCCAATTCCGCCAAGAAATGCAATTTGGAGCCGCGCGTAAAGAAGCACGAGAGTCGCTTTGCTGCTATGAAGAAATGCAATGTGCTGCTGCAGGCCAATGTGGACAATTTGCAGGATCAAATTTCACAGGTGCGCTCCAGGGCCACCAATCTCCAGGACGAACTGGATGCGGTAATTGCCGATTTGGGTTTCTAGGCGCATTAATCACAACAACAAAAACAGCTGCTGCTCCCAGTAAAAAAGAATCGAATGTACAACGTGTTTGTTTACTGTTTGCGTAGTGTTCCTTTTTTCAATGTATTTAAATATAATTATATTATCGACATATGTAAATTCAAGGCACACTATGTATTCACGTTCCAATTGCAAGTTGGTTTATTTCACTGTAATTGTTTTCTCTCGCCGGCAAATTGCGTGTTTGTTTGTTTTTAGTACTTATCGCTTTTCGAGTACTTTTTGCGTTTTGTTGTGGCAACCGGTGGCGCCGACGCGCTGTTAGCAAAGTTAATAGCACTGAAAGGTTACACTATGTTAAGCAACTGTTAATGTTGAGTACATAAACGGCATACTGCTCAACGAGGCCTAACAAAAGCGTCTGACGTCACGAGCACTGTATGTTTTTGCAGATATTGAGTACCTTCAAATTGTGGGTGCAGCTGCTAATGTGGCGCTATTTCATTGCATTTGTAAATCTGAATTATTTAAATTATGGTAAAAATAAGACTGTCTGCTTTGTGTTAAATTTGCGTTGTGCTGTGCCAACCGATGGCGCCGACGCTCTGCTTACAGGACTTGAAATAATTGGAGGTTGCGCCATGTTAATTGCATGTTATCTTTAAGTACCTCACATGCATACAGGCAAGTATCGAAAGGTAACAGCTGTTGCCTACGCAGCGCCCTCTGTCTGCAATTTAAGAAACTGCAAACACTACACAAATTTAAATTTGTGTTAACGGGTTTTACTTTTTCACAATTTGTATTTATTAATTAGCTTTTTTGTTCGAAATACTTTAGTATAAGCATGTATAACAATGTACAAAACAACAAGTTAATGAATTTGGCTAAACTAAACCATTACAATTATACGTGTATATATAATAGTCATATGTATGAATAATTTTTTAGATGGTATGAGTATCACGCTCGAACTTTAAAACTTTATGCTTATTTAAAATATGTGAATGAGTCTATAATGCGCCTATTTCTGTATGCTAAGCTGAGCTTTTTAATAATCCAAGTCTAAATCGTGTATGAATTAGTGTATCGTATTAGGTTTTGAGCATTATTCTTCGATGCCCGATGAAAATTTGATTTTAAACGTTGAGAAACCACTTACATAGCTAAAGCATTCGAATTACAACTACAAACTACATCTAATAGTTGGTCTACTCCAGCAGAATGATTCGAAAACGCTTGCGCAGCGAGGATTCCCGTGGCAAAGTCATGGCCCACTTCTTCATGGCTGTCAGAATAACCGAGCTGACGACCATGAGAGCGCCGCACAAGGAATACGCATTGGGTGCCTCGCCAAAAAAGAGGATTTGCCAAATAAATGCGAACACAATGTCGGCACAACGGGCAATTGCCACCGGACCCGCCTGCTCCACCTGCAGCGAGAGCGTCAACAGGATTTGACCCAAAAAACTAAAGATGCCTAGCACGACGACTAGCCAGCGATCTCGTCCACAGCTGGGCCAGCAGACGGCGCCAATGGAGCCGCACACAATCAGTGTATAGACCAGCGCGATGGCTCCAAAGTTCGTCATGATCACCGAAAAGTGTAGATTCTTGAGGGCACGCAGCAGAATATAAACATTGGCACCGAACAGCGTGGATGATATGGCAGCAACTGGTCCCCAGATATCATATGTTTTATCCGAATACTTTTCACTGTCCATCGCGTGGTGGTTGGCATCACCAAAGGCCAGCGGCGGCTTGGTGATGAGCACCACGCCCAGCAGCGTCATATTGATGGTGAGCACATTGAAGAGCGTGCAGGGCTCCTTAAGGAAGACGCGTGCGAATATGGCTACGAACACAGGTGTGGAGAAGATGATGACGCTGGCATCGGCAAGCGGCATATGGCGGAACGCATAAAAGCTAAGCATCAGACCCGTGGTGCCCATGAAGCAACGCAGCAGCAGGATGACGCGTTTGCCCTCGGGAAATACCGGCTGCCTGGTATAGATGAGTATGGGTATGGCCGGCAGGAGTACGCCCACAAAACGGAACGAGGCCAGCTCCATGGGATTGACATCCACCAGGCCCTTCACTATGACCGAGCATAGCGAGAAGAACAACGATGAGAGCGTGGCCAGTATAATGCCCAAATATGGGCAATTTACGCGCGTTTTAAGGCGTTCCAGCCATTGATTTGATATGTCACCCGCACGCGTGCCATCCACAAACTGATGCAATTCCAAGTTCTCTGGCATTGTGCCGCTTTCTAATATGCTAGTCTACTTATTAATTTACTGGCACATCCTGAAAACGTTTAATTAGGTTAGGAAAAGAAGCGTTACAAAGTGCCGTTATTCAATTATGTTACCTGTTTTATATTTTTTTTTGTTGATTGCTTTGGAAAAATCGATTTTTCAATCGTGTTGCAGCGTTTTAGGCAAAATGCTAACAACTGCGTCTGCTAAATTGCAGCATTCCTTAACTTAACATGACTGCCTGTGATTAGTTGCATTATTATTTGTTGTTAAAATATTTACTTAATAGTTTTTCATACACAAACATTTGATTGTAGCACGAGCAAACTTTTGCAAATTAAATTAACAGCTGCTGTCGTTCCTGTTGGCGAACAGTGCTGTTTATAAGAACTGCCAACGTGCTGCAAATAGAATGCAATGCTCAGAAAGTTATGTTAAGCAGCAGCACAGCTATCGTTGGGTTAACAGCGATAACAATAATTGTAAACAGAGTGCGCAATGACAGTAATTTAAATGTGGCAAAAGCAAAACCAAATTATTATATCATGTAGTTAGATGCCTAAGCTTGAGATCAGTATGCCATTTAAAAATGAATTGTGATAGCATTTCAAATTTTTGTTTGGCGGCAAGTCGAGTAGGCTGCATTAACATTCTTTATCGGACTATCGGGGCCGTAGTTTATTGTAATTTCGATATATTTTGTAATTTCATCAACACTTTTCGACTTCGACTTGCCATGAACAACCAAACCGCCAACAACACAAAACGTTGGGCGCTGCTCGCCGCCAGCTTGGGCCTGGTCTTTGTGCTCGTGCGGCAGAGGCAATCCATATGGAAAATCCTCTGTCGCAGTCCCCTCCAGCTGCAGCACAAACGCATCGAGGTTATCACCTCGGTGAACGAGTCGCAACGTATTCTAAACGAGCTAAAGAGGTGAGTGGGCATGGGCTTAAACGGATTTCGGCACCTGGTAACACACAACAATTTTCAGCCACTGTGAGTCATTCAAGGTTCTGGGCTTTGACTGCGAATGGATCACTGTGGGCGGCACACGCAGGCCGGTGGCCCTGCTCCAGCTCAGCTCGTACAAGGGTCTTTGTGCGCTCTTTCGTCTCTGCTGCATGAAGCAAATACCCAAGGATTTGCGTGAGCTGCTCGAGGATGATTCCGTTATCAAGGTGGGCGTGGCACCGCAAGATGATGCCATGAAGCTATCGCATGATTTTGGTGTCGGCGTCGCCAGCACCCTTGATTTGCGCTACATGGCCATCATGTCCGGGCATCCGGCAGAGGGTCTGGGCAAGCTATCGCAGACACATCTGAACTATGTGCTGGACAAGAACTGGCGGCTAGCCTGCTCCAACTGGGAGGCGCCACAGCTGGAGGCCGCTCAGCTTAACTATGCGGCCAATGATGCCCTCGCCGCTGTGGCCATATTTCAAAAGCTATCCAGAGACTTGGAGCCGCGTACATTTTGGGATTGGCGTCCGCCTAAATTCGAGCAGCTGCGTCCAAAAATAGAGCCATTTCTGGACGTGGACTTTACGAAAGGTTTTGCCGCCGGTCTGAGCAAATCACAGACAGAAACAGACAGTCCCAGCAGCCCGCTAACAGGCAAAGCCAAGCACAAGAGAAACAAGAAGCCACAACAGCAACAGCAGCAGCAGCAAGTCCGCAGTTTGGGCACCCTGTCGAAAGCCTTTTATGACAACTGCGTGCTGGAGGCGCCCGATGGCGAACTGCTCTGCACCATTGATCGCCGCAAGGCCTCCTGGTACTTAAATCAGAAGCTGGGCACACAAATCAGCGAGAAGCCCTTTACGGTGCGCCTGAATTTTGAACCGGCGGGTCGCGCGGTCGGAGATGTGGGTCGCTACTATCAGACGCCCAAGGAGAACCAGTGTGTGGTCTGCGGGCGGCGGGATGCCTATTTACGGAAAAATGTGGTGCCACGCGAATATCGCAAACATTTTCCCGTTGTCATGAAATCGCACACATCCCACGACATACTCCTGCTCTGTCCCAGCTGCCATCAGCTGAGCAATATATCGGATAACAAAATACGGAACAAGCTGGCGGCCACATGCGAGGCGCCCTTTGGCCATGGCGAGGGCGTCTCCAAGTACCATGATGATCAGCAGCTTAGGTGAGTTGTCTTGGTTAATTCATTTGCATCGAACTGGGCTCGAACAGCTCGAGTCTGCATCTATACTAACTGCTTGTCATCCTCTCCAGAAACGTCAAGTGCGCTGGCAAGGCTCTGCTGTTGCAGAGCGATCGCATGCCCATCCAAAAAGTCGCACAGCTGCAGAAAACCATTTTGGACTACTACACAGACACCACCGAAATAACGCCGGAGCTGCTGCAAAAGGCCGCCGACTTGGAGTGCCGTGTGCCCAACGAGTCGTACTGCCAGCATGGCAAGAAGGTGGTGCAAATGTATCGGGATAAATTTGGTGGCCTCGTGGAGCTGGAACGTTTGTGGCGGGAGCACTTTCTGCATACAATGCAGCCAAAATTTTTGCCCGAGCTATGGAATGTCAATCACAATGCAGATCGCTTAGAGGTGCGTGCCAGCGAGGGTCGCATCGACAATGAAGATTTGGTTGTGGCAGGTCTGGAATCGGCAACTAGTATAAATAATGTAGCTAGATCCTAGCAGTGTGATAGTTTTCAAGTTTTTATCTCTGTTAAACACGTAGTGCATTACAATAAATACGAATTGGCATTTGCTGCGTATCAAATACAAAGATCACAAAATTTTAAAATAATTTTCTGTCGCTGGCAAACCGACTGCACAATACTCTGTTTACCAGTCCTTAGAGTATATATACTTTAGAGCACTATCTGTTTTTATGAAATAATTTAAGATATTTTGATAAAACTGCATAGACACTTATTTGTATTGCAGGCATGTAACCTGACCAAAAATTTTATTTATCATTGCGAGTTTTATACCGTTCTTTACCTACAAAAATCTCTTATATCAACAGATGACTACTATATAATGTAGAATATATAGGAACAATTAGCCTGAAATTCATTTTGTGTAAGAACTATGTTTTTAAAATTAATTGCTTTTTCTAGTTGAAAAATAAGAGCATAATTTTAAAGGAAATTGCCAAGCATGTACCTGTCAAATTTGATAACACTATCTAAACACACTACAGTAAAAACTGCCTTGGGCGGACAGCGTCGAGCCTAATTTATAAATTGTACGTATATACAAAATATGGTTTGAGAAGAAATATACGGCCAGGGGAGTTTACGTTGGCAGAGTTTTCCCTGTACGTGTATTTACTAAATTTCGAGCCTGCCTTTCATAGATAAATAAGCAAATTAAAAATATATAAGAGATATTTTCAATCGGACAGACAAAGCGCCAACCCTATTTGGTCACATGGTAAACAGAGTATGTTAAACAGCGTAAGTATGAATGGCATTGGTCTATGAGCATCTTTTAACAGACATAAATTAAGCGTACTATATTTAAAGCTGACTATAGATAAACTTGACTATATATATATATATATATATAAATATATGTATCAGAAAATACACTATATACACTGAATACCACAGCAGCGACGATTTGCTAAATAAACTCGAAGCCCTCGTATTTGTAGTCCGTCTCTATGCGCGTCTCGGGCAGCAGGGTTTTGCCCTTCACGCTGAAGGCCGTCACAAATGTGGACGTTTTTCCATTAAGCTCCTCCGTTTTGAGCGCGACAATAATGGAGTCCTCTGTATTGGGTAGAAATTTAAAGCTAGAGAAACCGTGCGTGGGCGCCGTATTGGCGGTATCCAATTTAAGTGTGTCTATACTGGTAAAGTGCTCATCCGCAGAGATTAGTATGTTGCAGCCCATGTGCTCATCCAAGGTTTCGTTGTATCTGTGAAGAGCAATTGAATCAAAGATAAAAAACGATTTGAGAAGCGCCCACTCACTTCTCCTTGGAACAGCGACGTGGCAGAAAGTACCAGCGCTGATGCACAGGTGACCAGACGCCGCTCTCGTGTATCATATAGCCGGGCCAGCTGATCTGCAGCGATTGCAGTCGCAGCTGCTTGTAGTTCTCCGCCCAGTTGAGGGAGCGCACCTCGCCGGTTGTGCTTATGGCCTTCACGTACATGGGATTATTATTCTGATATTCACCCATGCCCGTTGTCCACTCCTTGCCCATGGAGCCGACATAGAGCGTGTGCTGCTTCACGGTTGCCCACTCCGATTTGAAGCCCTTGGTGCTGTGGCCATCGCCATCCAGCAGTATTAGCCAGGGTATGACCTTGTCATTGGCCAGCTCATAGATGAGCCCGGTGCGATCATCGAAGCTGAGCAGCTTGCCATTGAATGTGACCAGCTCGGAGAGCTCCATGCCGCGATCCTTTAGCGCAAACGAGGACTCCAGCGCCGTCGGCGCACCGTCGTCCCAGCTAATTTGTATCTCCTGCTTTTTGGCCAGATACGTAAGATAGCCCTTCTTGAGATAGCTACGCCACGTTGTGCTGCCATCGCCTTTGACAATCTTCGAGCTGGTATCTAGATCTGCTATCATGGCGATGCGATAGCTGATAACCCCGCCCTGCACGCTCAGCGGCGGCGTCAGTGGATATGTTGTATTGTAAGGCGTGGCTAGGGAGGCGGCATTCTCTTGGCTGGCATAACGGCTGCGCAGCCAATAGCCATCCGATGAGCTGCGACTGCCCTGGCGCGCATACAGAAAGAGCAGCGCGAGGATAAAAACACAGAACACAAGCAATGCGAAATGATAATTAAAGCGGACTGTGCGATTGCCAATTCGATAGGTTGGCGTACGCAGGGCGGTACGCCAGTCGCGCATATGCATGGTGCGCGGTGAGTTTTCCAGATCTCTGAATCCGTACGTCGTGCTTTGCATTTAGAACTTTGAATTTTGGCAGCGTGGCAGCGAATTGGCTGTGGATGCGGCCAGCTTAAATTATGTGATGTGTCCGTTTTGGCTCTGTTGTTTAGATTCCACGATTGACGACATATCGATAACTGCCAACAACACAAAACAGCTGACTGCCCAATGACTCTCTACGATAGTTCGATACCAAGTTCTATCGAACTGGGTTGACTACTAACTGCTTGAATCGATTCTTCTTGATTTCGTATTGTTTGATAGGCGCCAGCAATTAAAAATGGCACAAATTTTGGTTTAAAATGTTAAATGTTATCCTTCTGTTAAGATTTCTCCAGTGATAACATTTCGATACCTGCCAACAACACAAAACAGCTGACTCGCAATGAGAACTGTAATAGTTCCATCGTTGAATAGTTCGATTACAAAAAGATATAGAGATTTTAAAGATATCGATCTTAAATCGATTTACTTGTTTTGAAGCGCTAATAATTTGAATCTTCAACATACAAATTTGTAAGCTTTTAAAAACTATACTTAAGTTTAATTAACATTTGGTAACTTGGCAGATTTTCGCTAATATTTTTTAAGCATAACTTGAAGATTTTTATAGGTAGAAGCTCGGATTATTATACGTTTTTGATGAAATGAAAAAAAAACTCCAGAGAAAAAAGCTATTATGAGTGCATGTTACGACGATTTGGTGCTTAGCACAGGTTAACCCTAATCACACTCACTTAGAGCATTGCCCCCAAAGTAAAAAAAAAATAATAGCTTAACTTGATAGCTCAAGTTTTGCGTAATTATAACAGGCATAACAAAGGGAAAAGTGCAACACCTATTAATTTGTATATGCTAAAAATAAATTATTCTATTGTCTGACGGTCATATATAAGAGATCAGCTTAAGTTGAGATGTTTAAAATATTTTTGCGAGCTTTAGAGAACAGTCATGAATTTAATTTTGGCTATATTATGCTTAGTTGTGCTGGCAACTTATTATCTGTGGTCGCGTCGTGACTTTTATAAGTTTTTTGCGAAATTTCCAGGTCCTCTAGGGTATCCCCTAATCGGAATAGCGCACAAGATGCGGCATAAGGAAGGTAAATTGAACTTATGACAAGGCTTGGTTGCATTTTAATTTGCTATCTTTTATATAATAGATTTGCTTAGCCTGTTTGGTTCTTATATCAAGGATTATGGCACTACTTTGGTCACTTGGCTGGGCCCATTGCCATTGCTAATTGTCAGCGATCCTCAAGTGACGCAGGATATACTAAATTCTCCGCATTGTGTGAACAAAAGTTTAATGTATAAGATATTCGACGATGCTGGGGGCAAGGGCTTATTAAGCTTGGAAGGTGAGCAGTTAAGATAATTGTCATATTTATAAGGCGAACAAATTTCCCCTTGTAGATCCGGTTTGGACTGAACATAGAAAAATGTTAAATCCCGCATTTGGTCACAAGGTTTTGCTGAGTTTTTTTCCCATTTTCAATGACGAGACGGCAATATTATTAAAAGAGTTTGATAAAATGGCCGATGGCAGGGAGACTGATATACTGCCTTGTCTACAGCATTTTACATTAAGCATAGCTACGCGTAAGTAGAACTTTTTTTAGCTAAAAAACTTATAAATTTTTCTTGATATAAGCAGAAACCACAATGGGCACTTGTGTTAAGGAAGAGCCAAGCTTTAAGAACAGTTCCCTTATAGCACATGTTGAATGGTGAGTAGAGTACAAATGAAAGAGCATTCACAAGCATTTGCATTTAGGCTCCAGGAATGCGTGGCAGACTTTGTCTTATCCCCATGGTTCAATTTTCGAATAATACGTCAACTTCTGGGCAGAGAGGAGCATTATTTCAGATCAAAAACACAAATAAGATCGTTTATCAGAAAGGTAAAAGGAACACACACCTCAGTATAAACGAATAATATATATTTTCCTGCAGCTGGTGGATAAGAAGCTCTCTCGGGACATCCAGGACAAGACAACGGGCAACAAGAATTTTTTTCTCAATTTGGCAGTTGAGCATCTCAAACGAGGCAGCTTTGACAGAGAGAATGTTGAAAATGAGTCCATTATAATAGTGTTGGGTGCCTTTGAGACATCTTCCAAGACGCTGGCTAATACGCTCATGCTGCTGGCCATGTTTCCCGAGTACCAGGAAAAGGCATTTGATGAAATCCTTGCGTTGTTTCCCAATGCGGGCGATTTTTCAGTTAGTTACGAGGATACCCAACAAATGGTTTATATGGATCTCGTTTTGCGGGAGTGCATGCGCCTCATAGCGCCTGTTCCGGTTGTGGTCAGGCAAGCATCGAAGGATGTGCGGCTATCAAATGGCGTTTGTATGCCCAAGGGCACGCAAATTCTGATTGACATATTTCACATGCACCGCAGCAAGGATATATGGGGACCAGAGGCAGATTCATTTAATCCGGACCACTTTCTGCCACACAACTTTCAGGAAAAGCATCCGTATGCGTATATACCTTTCACGAAGGGTTTGCGCAACTGCATAGGTGCGTGGTGTTTGTTAAACGAAATATTAATCCATATTTATAATCATATATTTCAAATTTCAGGCTGGCGTTATGGCATTTTATCTATGAAAGTTACGTTGGCCAAATTAGTGAGAAATTACAAATTTAGCACAAGTTTTAATTATAAACATCTACAATTTATTGATAATATCACCATTAAACTGGCAACTACACCGCTCTTGAAGCTAGAACGTAGAATTTAATAGAGACATGAATAAACGTAATTAAATGCAATTTAAGTTTACCGGTTCGACATTACTTATCGAATATTCTAATGTGAACTTATCGGTAGACCGCCTCAACATATGTCCTCTTGTGTATCGGTATTTACACAGTGAGTATCGATGCTGCTAACCAAAGTACTCAAAAACGCCGGTCTTCAGCAAAAGAACAGTTTGTTAGCTTTTATTAAGTAAGTGACGCGCGATAAATATGTGCCATGTGGAGGCGCTTTATAAATACTATGCAATCTATTCCCACAGGGCACATAAATAACTGCAGGAAGTGTACCATGTCGGAACCAAGTGCCAGAAATTGCCAAGAAGCTATTGCGCGCTTGCGGGAATTTGGATATGCATTCAATGAAGGTGAGTTTGCAGCTTAACAGTTATCTGGTTTTACATACTCACTATATACGTATACACGTGTGTGTGTGTGTGTGAGCGTACAGCTGGACAACTACGCAAAATAGACAAAATCAGCGGGGAACCCGGCGAGGAGCCTTACGAGTTTAAGATAAGCGACAATCAGGCTAAGAATCAGGAGCACTACGAGCAGCTGGCCAATCAGATACCAGAAATCATATACGAACTGCTGGAAAAGAACGGATTAAAAAGGACCTACATACCCAAAGGCGTGCCCATTGAGCATTCCACATTCGTTTTCTCACAGCCGCAGCCGCTTTCCCAGTCAAAGAAGCTGCTTGTGCTCATCCATGGCAGTGGGTATGTGCTAGCCGGGCAATGGGCAAGGAGGTAGGTATCATATTGGCACGTATGCCCATATATTCATATATGTATCTAAAGTTATCGATATATGCTAAACTATTGTGTCTGTATGACTGAGCAACTGATTCAGTCATTGATTGACTCAGAGGGACATAAAAGCTTAAAAACGGACAAAGTGTGTAGCCAGACTGGTTGACGAATTGATTTACTGACTTATAGACTGATTGACTAATTTACTGACTGATTGATTGACTTACTGATGGATTCATTGATTGACCGCGACTGATGAGAGCTAGATGACGAGTTTTGATCAGTAACTATACTGGCTGCATGACCAGCTGACTAACAGAGATGGAAATAAAGAACTTAAAACGGATAAAATAGTTATATAGTTTATTTGACAATTCGATTGACTGACTGACCAGCTGATCGAATCCTTGACTTCCCGAGACTTGCGTAAGAGCTCATTATGATTTTTTTTTGACGCTTAAAGTTTATCAAGCACGTGTTTCACAGATTTCAAAAATGTCATACCACAGATGAAAAATGAAGGAAAAATCAATTTTACATATAATGAAAATCATTTTGCCACGCAAAGTCGGGTAATTCTTGCTAGTATACATACATTATATGAGTATAAACGCATGCTGAATGCTTATTACGATTTGTAAGTGTCTAAATACTCGTATGAGTGTATTTGATATAGCAAATTTAAATTGCGAATTTAAATGCATTCAGTTCAATATAAAACAATTTCTATCATTACTTTTAGATTGATTATAAACAATTCCCTGGATCACGGCACGCAGCTGCCTTATATACAGCGAGCCCAGAAACTGGGCTATGATATACTCGTCACCAATACGAATGACACCACACGCATGATAAAGGGCAAGCGTACGCCGATCAAAGGTTTGGAAAATTCCATGACTCATGCCGCTTACGTATGGGAACATATTATTATGCCCTCCCAGCCCAAAAGTGTAGCTATTGTGGCACATAGTTTTGGTGGGGCTGTGAGCAGGGCTTTGGTATGTCCAACAGTAATCCAATCATGTTTATTTATAAAATCCCTTCTTATTGCAGACGGAGAAATATACAAAATTTTTCAAGGAAAAAGTATATGCCATTGCTCTTACCGATGGCACAGTGGGTCATCCGCCGGCCGGCTGTCAAAAGTATTTTCTTGATGTCACCTGCAATTGGGTGTCAAGCAACGAGCCGCTCGATACGGATTTAACACAAGGCGATGTTGCCGAGAATATCACTTGTGTATCTGCTGGACATCCGGAGCACGAATGGACCTCCTATTCAGCCATCGAGTCTGTATTTAAGTTCTTGGAGAAAAAGTACGAGCAGCATGTGAAGGCCAAGCAGGTCGTCTAGTAGCAACTTGTTACTCATTTCATCATATTTTGAAATTCTGTGCATCATATGATCTTCTCTTCCATGTGACACTTATCCCTTTACTCTAAGGACCCACACAAACTATTCATTTACAACGCATAAATCAAATAGCCCTGGACCATCCCAAACATGACAAACTCCTACCACCAACCACTTGGAAATATGTCACCAACATTCACGTCAAGGCAATTTAATTTGATTTTCGGGCACTTTGGCACATTCCATGTGAGTTAATCAACTTGATGGCTGATGTATCGTCCACGATAAAACAAATAGTGTCTCATATGTCCAGTCAACAAGCAGCTAAAAAAGCGACCCCCGTGTCCCCACGGTCAAGGCCTTAAGTTGCCTGCTCGATAAGAAAAGTATTTCGCTGTTGGGGTTGCTGCAAACCCCAGCTTGTGTTTGGCTATGGCGCCGAGAATTCCCATCCAAACAAACCACATCGTTTAACAAAGTGCGTCATAAAAAGTGTCCCAAGTGAATTTGATTGTGCTTCAAAATAGCAATTCGCATTTTATATGCGCAGATATCTGCCCGCATGTTGGTCTGTAAACAACATTTGCCTCTGGAATTTTAAAATTATGAGCTTCATATAAATATAATATATGTATAATATATATATTCATATATATAAAATATGTATATTATATATATTCATATATAGCTTCATCAGCTTCATCATTCATATACATATCTATATATTCATATAAATATAATACTGCCCTTGAACTAATTTCCTTCATATTAACAATCAAACATCATTCAGCCGTTAGGAACTATTTTTATAACCTGACTTTAAGTCAAATAAGATTAACTTTTAGAAAGTTTTAATCGATCCATTGCCTTTTAAAATAAAATAAAATCAATCAGAAACAAGATTTCGCTTAACATAAACTTTTAGATAAATTGATTTTAAAGTGTTTTTAATTGCTCGGCACTTAGTCACATGGTTTTAATAGTATTGCCTAACATAATTTAATTTTAATTTATTAATCTAAATGTATTGTTGCTTAGCGACCTTCTTAGTTTTATAGACAAATGTAGTATCTTAGGGGTTGTTCGCATGTATTTATTCAAAATTAAGAATATTTATTTACATTTGATTTTTCGTGTCGAGTCAGGTTAGTGTCGCGATCGCCACCAGGTTCGATAAGTCGTGAGCCGAAAAGTGTTGCAGCATTTGGATTGAATAGACCTAAGGAAGCTTGTTGATATGGTTATGCTAAAAAAAGGTAGACAAATTGCTTAAACAAAAATATTAGGATCAGACAAATTTAATTTTTGAAGAATCAAAAAAGCTAGCTCTAGCGGGAAAACCGCATTAGAAATCGGTAATATGTGATTTCGCTTTTTTGGATAGTTTATGTTTATTTTATACCTATAATGTATCCAAAATATATTATATATAAATTTAGTTATGAAATTTAATTTAATCACATGATATTCTATATTCAGACAATTCAGCTCAAAGAGATAAACCCTCTAAGTAGTAACTCGATAAGTGCAGTCAAAGACGTTTATCTTTAGCATTAAGACCAAAAACTTAATACCCACAAAGCATAAAAGAGGGAAGCAAGTCTGAGAGAGACAGCTGCAGACGACAGCAGGCAGTTGGTTGGGTCTGGCTGGTTGGCTGGGCTGGGTTGGGTGGATGATGCCATAGCAAACGGCAACCCTACAAGAGTCGCTCCCTCCTCTACGCACGCCTCCTCCACCTCGCCTTCGGCTTGGCTGGTATACATTATCGCTGTCATGGCCGCAGTCATGGCTTCTGCTCCACCTTAGGACATTCTATATGTATGCGGAGTCGACATCGTTCACTTCGTTGTCGTCCTATGGCAGGCAGCTATCTACACTTTGACTCACCCGCACCCTACACACAGACAGAGATACGAGGCTAGACGAGGATGGCATTAGTTTAGTCGGGAGTGCGAGAGTTCGTGTATCCGTCGTACCCAACGCTGCCAGAGCTTTGTGTGTGAGTTCAGGAATGGGTCATGCGCCTGGAGCATGTACATATCTCACTCATACATATACAATAGCTTCCTTCTTGTTCTTTTTTATACTTTCATTCTCCCGTCTATATGGCAACAGTAAATAAGCGGAGTGTTTAGTAAATAAAAACAAAAGTCACAGTTTTTAGTTTAAATTAAGGCTACGAATGCCTGTCATAAGAAAATGGTCCTTTTTGCTATTTTCTCAGCTAACAATAGCTGGCAATTACTTAAAATAATCATTCTTGTTCTTATGGTTATTTGATAAGATCTTAAAGCGTGTGCATATAGTATATGCAACGTCCTTCACAGGGCGAAGGACTCCTCAACTGGGACTGGGATAAAACCCTTTAGCGTGTGGATTTCAAGCCTTTGCTATTTGTTAGGTCGTTTATTGTGGATACAAAGATTTTCATTTTAGATTGGAAGTTTAGCTTATGCGTGGCTTAAGATACCAATTTGTTTTTCTTTGGTTTTTGGTTTACTTAGTTCGGTTGTCTTGAAAAAAAAGGACGTTTTACAAATTACAAAGAATATATGAAATGAACACTAAACTGGATGAAAACGTTTGGTGCGTTTTTCTCTGACTGCAACAACAATAAGGAATTTTGCGGTATTTTGCAAAAAGAGAACCAAAAGTTGTTGCATTTATTGTCCTTATATGTTATTTAAACTTTTAAGCTCAGCTGAGAACTGGTTTATTAGTCATTTAAAAGAGGTTCAAAAATGGTTCGCAGTTTCATTTCATTAAGATTTCCTCAATTTTCGTATGTAACATATCCCGAATTCCTAATGAATATCTTCATAAATCAAAAACTCCCAACTCTCTATGGAGAATGCAATTTTAAATAA